GACTCATTCCTCCGTGTTCTTATTCCCAGTGGGAACTTTACCGGTTGCTCCTCAGTGGAAGAAAAATGATAAACGCACCCATCGTAACTTAATAAACCCTGTTTACCACAGCCCGATCTGCCCTAATTGCTTTGCCTATTCATTATTACTGTCTTCTCTGTCCAAGTAAACTTTTTCATTCTCTTAGACTTTGTATAGATTATTTGTTTCTAGCGAACGAGTTTTTACAGTTAGTCTGGCGGGATTAGAGTTACTTTAAATACAGAACTGCCCTTTTGAAATGTGGAATAGATTCGATTCTTATAAATTAGTCTACATGACGTGAGGTGTGCGATAGACTTACCTCCACGTGGTGCACCCTGGGCAACGTATACTCATACGGCGAAAAAGTCTATTAATCGGCAGTTGACTTCTGACTTCAAACTGCCATGATCCCAATGTAAGTCATATTCGACTACTTTCACAGTACTCACCTCACCTCTTTTCTACCTTTCTGTTCTACCTTTTTCTGTTCCCTCCCCACCCCCTCTCGACTTTCTTTCACTTTGATGTTCCTTCCCCTCTGTGAATCCCGAAGTCAACCAAAGGGCTAATGATAACCATCAAAACGCCTGCCATTTGATATAAATAAGTCTACATGACGCATTGAACAGGCATACAGCAAACGCCGTTCTTGAAACTGACTGATTAAAAGCCGGGAAGTTATGAAACCAGCACAAGGTAAAAGAAATGAAGAGGAATTTTACAAAACCAAAAAATGTATGAATCTGCCAACACAAATGATTTGGGAAAAAATAAGATCACCAGAAGAAACAAGTAGTGATCAGGAAGTTAGTTAACTTGCAAGCAAACATAAATCTCCAATTCAAGTAAATTTGCCACAATCGTGACGTTCACAGAAATGAGGATACGTTAGGTTGATACCCCATCACCCCTGATAACTCGTAATAGGCGCTATTAGTTAGTGAAACTAATTCAAACAAGCAGATAGCAGACTCACCCTGATCATCGATAAGTATATTCTCCGGTTTGAGATCTCGATACACAATGCGGAGAGAATGAAGATGTTCCAAACCCAGCGTAATCTCAGCCGCGTAGAATCTGGCTCGACTCTCTGGAAATCCCGCTGTGCTGCCCATGTTATGAATGTGGAATTTCAAATCACCTCCATTCATGATGGTTAGCACAAGACAGAGAGCATCCTTGTTCTCGAATGTGTACGTTAGGCTCACCTAAAATGCAAAAAAAAATCAATGGAAATTAGGAGAGCCCATCTTCGTTAGATACGTATTTAACCTAGATGGAATAAGTTAGTATAGTCTACCAAATGGGAGACTGCCCCTTCGTCGGTGGATGGATGTTAAAAGAATTTTCCAAAGTGGGGACTTTACTTAAGAAGGAGGAACTTATGAAAAATGGTGGTTCTGAAGGAATAAAATTTGGAAAACAACGGTCGACCTGATGATCCTGAAGCGCAGATAAAGTAGAGTTATCCTGATTCCCACTTATTCGACCTAAATAGGAGTATACGCTCAGCCAGCATGTCCCCTATGTGACCTAGAGGAGGAAATGAAGAAGACACACCTGACTCGGTGTCCATCCCTAAAGATAACGACGGAAACCCAGAGATACTGGGAAGTCAGAAGACAACTAATGAACAAATGTTAACTGTTCTAAAACCTAAATATATGTTCCTCCCCCCTCCTCCTTGTGAAACCCGAAGTCAACTAAGGGGCTAATGATAAATATCATAAGGCCTGCCATTTGAAATAATAATAATAATAATATTTACTTTAAATGAACTATACCCTCCTATGTGTTTGGAAGTTTCCCAGTGGTAGAGTTGTAAGCTTTCTCTACATCGAAAACAACCAAGTCACGGTCCCGGAGTCCGCTACATAGTGGAAAAGAATGTCTTATGGACTGTGAGAAACTCAGATCTTATCCTCTGCTAGTTGGCCACAGGGAGGGGTTGAGAAATAACTCCCCATCTTTAAAATCAAGTAGGCTAGCTAACAACTAGTTCATTTTATTAAAATGGAGTTTCGTTTGATATTCGATTTGTACTTAGGCAATCGTTTACTATTGCGTAGAACAATTCATGGTGATCTTTGCATCAATCATAGAATGATCCCTTACAGACATCATAGTATGATGATATTTTAGCATACTCTTGAAAGTTTAAAGAACTGATATTCATTCACTTTAAGAGGTAGGTTTCTATTCCACATGCAGACAAGTTACCACTACGTCACTACACAATCTTTACAGCATTAGTCTGCGTGTGTGGATTCATGACCAAAGAAAAGATCAATTGAATCAAAAATAAGCTCGATGATTTCAGCTAGGAAGATAGAGAAGAAGAGGTCTCCGTTTTTTTCTCTAACTATATCTCCAAAAATATTATTTGCCTAATCTTGCGAAATTTGAAACTCAATCAATAATTTTAGCGACTATTTATTAGTAATCATCGCAGAAAACCATTATGCACTGCACAGTTAATGTGAGTTAATGTTAATAATATTAAGTAAAATTTATTTCATTGGATGTAGTGGGGTGATTTCATTTATAGTTGAAAAAGAAACAATCGCCATATCTAGGTTATCATGAATACTTTCGGCAAATCTAAGAGAAGTCTAAAAGCTTCATTTCTTATGAAATTATTTGCAGATAATTGGATCTGGTTCAGAAACACACATACGCACGCCTTCCTCCCTCTTACGTGCTTATTGGACACGTGACAATCAGAAACATTCAAGATCAACGCACTAAATGCTAGAAGTACGATCTGAAAATAAAAAGAGGAATTCAACTTGCACGAAATCAGCATTTGTCATTTAATGTCACTGTGACAGCTGGGTGTATGATAGACTTACCTCCATGTGGTGCACCCTGGGCAACGCCCTGGGCAACGTATACTCATACGGCATACAAGTCTATTAACCGGTAGTTTACTTCCGAATTCAAACTACCATCACCCCACTGTATGTCATATTTCACCATTTCAGCAGATCTCGCCTTTTACTCACCATTTGTGCTTGTCTGTCTCTTTTACATCTGTGAATTATTATTCTGTCCCCCCTCTCGATTGTTCCTCCTCCCCTCTGTGAAGCCCGAAGTCAATTAAAGGGCTAATGATAGGTGAATCGCTCTTCTTTCCTCCCTATCATTTCTTCGCACTTTAATGCTCCTACCTTCTGTGAAGCCCGAAGTCAGCTAAATGGCTAATGATAGCTGTCCTGTGAAGCCCGAAGTCAACTAAAGGGCTAATGATAACTACCGTGAAGCCTGAAGTCAGCTAAAGGGCTAATGATAACTATCGAAATGCCTGCCATTTGAAATAAATAAATAAATTTTCTTCTACCATGCGAATCTCAAAGGATTATTAAAAATGGTTGTCGCGTATAATCAGAATTCTGCTATTGGTCAAATAACATACTATTCTATTTCCCAAAGCCCGAAACTACAACCACAAAAATATTCAAGGACAGCCCCGTGTGTGTTTTGCATTAGCCAAATGCAAAAGGTCAACACAGCAACCGTAAGACATTAGGAGCCGTAATGTGCCAAAACCTTTGGCAGAGTTGGAGGGGAGGGATTGTAAAATCTGGCCCGACCCTGTGGTGAAAAAAGTTTGTACTATAGCAGAAAACCAGCATTAAATAGATTATAACGATCAACACATCAATTTAGCTGTTTAGTGGAGTGAGTACAATTCATTGTGGTTGCAATAAACAGGCATGGACAAAACTCGAACACATTGTAGCGCACCTGATTTGTGTAGAAAGAAGTTGCCATGGAACCGTAATCACAAGAAATTAGTGCTGTTCTAGCTCTTCTATTGATAAAACGAAATCAATTCGTAGGGCATCCATATCAATGAATTCGCACCAATGGGCAAGGGTCTCGTAACTGACCACTGCACACTCAGACTATGGACAATCTTATCAATGCCCGCGTTCTTAAATATCATTATTATTATTATTATTGAATTGCTGGATAACAAGGGTGCAAAAAATGGGAACACCACTTCGTGTTTGCATATAAACCAATCACATCTGTTATAGAGAAATCGTTGTGTTTGTGTCACGAGTCTATCTAGCCCCCTTACATTACCAAGTTGGAACAATTGTAACCAGGGCGCAAACAATGTAGGCAACTCAGAGTAAGCCGGTGATGAGTTTTGCATGATTTGCCTAATGATTGATTAGGAGGTAAAATCAATTGCATAATGTTGCCGAAGATTTATGACAGGAGATGAGAGGTGGTAATCCACTTAGAAATACACATGAACACCACAGGTATCATTAAAACAGTCTTGCTGAACACAGTTGAATATATTTTATTAACTCGAGTAGATAAAATGCCCGCCCGCATCTGGGCAACTGACGACCCTTTCCATGTAGGAACTTATTGATATCATTCACCATCAAACATATGTTTCTTAAAGACCTTTCTATGCAAGGAGTAGCATAAAATAATCGCTATTGATTGGTAATAGTATTGCAACTAATAATTATTGATTAGTAATGATAATAAAAGCAATGATTTCGTGAATGAGCATTTGTAAAGAGAATCAAAGTATGCAAAGGATGACGACAGATCAATATTTGCTGTAAGCACCTCAACTAACCAAAAAAAGTTGTGGTTCACGATCTTTTCACAACCCACTATCTCCCTCTTTCTCAACACAGTTTTTCCCAAGATCGACGTTAATTTGGCCCCACAAACATTTGTGGCAGCACTAAAGTGAAATCAGCAAATGTCTATATTATGGTTTATGGGTGTGCGATAAATTTACCTCCACAAGGTGCACCCTGGGCAACGCGTATTCTCATACGGCAAAAAGTCAATTAACTGGCAGTTGACTTCTCACTTCAAACTACCATGACCCGACTGTATGTCAAATTCGACCCCTTCACAGTACTCACCTTACCTCCTCTCTACCTTTGTGCGTGTTTGTCGCTTTTACAACTGTAAATCACTCTTCTGTTCCCCACCTCTCGACTTTATGTTATTTTGATGTTCCTCCTCCCCTCTGTGAAGCCCGAAGTCAACTAAAGGGCTAATGATAACTATCAAAACGCCTGCCATTATGGCTTATAGGATATTGATATTTGGCTATTGGGATATAGAAGCTGGTTTCAAAATAAGGAGCTTAGACGATTTCCTGGTCATAAGTTCAGAGAAGATAGATCATCAGCCATCAATCCTCCTTCTACAAAGTTGACATTTGAGGAAGAGAACAACAGCAGCCACTTTTCCTTCCCATTCACAATTGAATGTGAAAAAAAGGCCCAATTAAATTACGATAATGATCAAAATGTTCATTTCACGTATTTATTCCAAATTGGCATGAAAGAATTCCCACATATTATGAAGTACCTTAAAATAGATGGCATGATCGCCTAATTGCACTTTTGTTAGTTCCTTCAATCAACTGAGCCACACGTGAACTGCACCCATTAAACAACTTGACACATTTGACACCCTGACTGTAGTAATTTATTAGATCAGTTTATTGTTCCCCAAGTTTATACGCTATTCCATAATTAAATGCGCAAAAAAAGTCATTTGCCACAACTGCCAAGGTGCAAGTCGGAAAATACTTCCCTAAACCACAGCAGAACTCCACGCAGATACTCAGACGAACTGTCCACATTCTGGTCATTTAAAATGACATCCCTCAAAGATTTAAAAATAGCAACGGTTCCAGAAAAATTGAAGGCCGATTTCAAAGTAACACAGCCATTATTTAAAAGCCCTGTAGATTTTTGTACCCTTAATTACTCTACTTCCCGCTATTACTGTTTGTTTCATTGTGGAATAGAAATATTACGCAATAAGAGCTGCCAACAGTTATGATCAAGTCCTAAAATTGGACGCACGTCAATTCTGAAACAGAAGGGACAAGGAACCAGCCAAGTTTTCATTCCAATTTCGATAATGTCAATGAAATGATAGAAATGCTATAATTCTATTTATCCAAAGACAGCACAAGAGATTTTCACGTCTCCTCTAGTCTTAAAAACCTGATTTTGATAGAAGTTTGCGTGCTGCGTAAAGATCCCTTTATAGACCACAGTCTCGGAATTGTGGGCAGTCGTTTTGTCATCGTAACCTACAACAAGGTTACCGATACGTATGAATGAAAGTGATTATCACAGCCTATTAGAGGGAAATGTGTCCTGGTAGGTAGCATACATGAGTTTATTTAGCGAAAACGCCATTTAGCATCTTCCTTACCAGCTGATTTAACCTCCACAGCTAATCATTTTGGAAAGTTTATTTGTCTCAATCTGTTCATATTTGATTAAACAAACCTACAGCAGAAATAACTGGTAATTTTCAAGCCCCAAACTAGAACTAATTTAATATTGTCATGTCATAAAAGTGTACGTATGCTAATCGCCAATCATCCAAGAAGAGCAACAATAGCATTTCCAAAAATTTACGATTTGCTCCATAGATACAAGCGCAGGTTTGAATAACTGACAAGAAGCTGAAAAAATACAGCCGAAGAGTTAATGGGTGAATTTTTCAGGATAATCACTTTCCTGCTTATCTCCTAGTTGTCTTAAAAGCCTGACGATGCTCTCATCTCCAAACATCAACAGTTCGAAGATGGGTTGCAGTTAGTTTATAAAGTACCTTGATATTGAGTAAACTCCGTGTCTGACTTCTCTGCGATTGGATCAAATTTAGCCTATCGATATCCTGATCACAGCACAAGAAATTACCCCCCCCCCTTATTATTACAACAGGATAAAAGAGTCTCACTTTGCAAAAAAATGACGTGCAGAAGAATGAACCCGCCCTTCTTTTAAAACCACTCATGATCCGGACATAAGATAACATAGGAGCAATAGCCGTTGATGAGATGTTGAAGTGTCTGGCCAAATAATTAACTCCCCTACAGACTTAGAGGTACTTGAGTAGTCAGGTCTATACCCTATTTCCCCACGTTAGGAGTTGTAGCCTTAACACTTTACTAGGAAGTGATTTAGTCAAGACCTGCTCTATCTGGGTCTTTTTGAGTTTCAAAAAAAGTTAAATTAACTAATAAGAGACCCTTTTCTTGAAAACAATACACTTGGAAATACGTAGCCTAAAAGCAAATGCCATTGGTGTGGGCACGGGTAATAGGTGTTACATGGATCACTGGAGGTGTCCATTATCTTTAAATTTTGTTCAGTAAATTTATCAGTGTTCTACTCTCATGTAGATACCTTAACTTTCCATCTACTTCTTAGAGCAAAGTAATTTGCCATTAACAAAAAAAATTCGACCCTTTGCGGTGACTTCAACCAATGTCCCCAATCTTATTGACTTATCAGCACACAAAAATTAAGACCCGAAATAATGCCTTTAAAAATTCGTCAATAGGAAGCAAAAAGGAGTTTTATTTGATGCATTTTTTGTACAGACCACAATGGAACACTTAGGAGAAGGTGTGTGCGTGTGGGTGTGGGTGTGCGTGTGGGTGTGTGTGCGGGTGTGGGTGTATGCCACGAAATGGGGCAAAACCTTACCTTTTGTAAAATGAGGGGAGGGGGAGGGGGAGGGAGAGGAGGAGGAGGAGGAGGGAGGCTATTATCCATCTTTATGCAACTAAAAAATCAGCTGGTTCTTCGCTCCTCCCTCTCTCTCACTCTCTCTCCCCTTATTCTATGCATAAGCAGAATTTTGCGAAAATTAAAAGAAAAAGTGAAAGCAAAACTGAAAAATGTGGATTTTGTTGAAATAAAAAGAACAAGACAGCTGTTGTTAGATCACGCTTTAACGCTGATGTTAGGCCAAAACACACCCAAGCAATAAAACAAAATAAAAACATAGAGATAGGCGGTAAGTTGGTGGTTTTAGGGCAGATGTTAAACTCAAACCTTATAATCATAACTGAAAGGGAGAAAATGAGCACAAATGAGAAGATAAAGAAATAGAAAAATCAATGTTTCAATATAGATCTAAAGTTATGCGTGTGTGTAAATATATGATCCATCCGTTTACTCATGGCTGTTAAGAAGAATGGATCGATGTGGCATGATCAACCACCACTTTAATTATTTCCACTTTGAATACCTCGAAGAGAAATTCACACCCCCCCCCTCCCAGCAGTCTAGCGGCCAAACCATGGAATTTCATCTTTAAAACTTTGCATAGCAAGCTCTAATACTCACAAGAAAGTGGATGACATAATATGTCCTGAATTCAGCAACAACGGCTTCTCCTCTCTGATTTATCATTCATTGTTTCATTTTACTGTTAAAACGTTTGCTTATATTTAAAAATTATAAAGATTTTTTGTTGTGCTCTTGTTAATGCTAATTAAAATAATAATTCCCAAGACCATTTGGGATAGCATTTGCCAACGCTCATCTTGGATAGAAAGTAGCATCAAGAAGCCTCAGAAGTGAGAGACTCCAGTTTTTGCTGATCTTTACATCGATCAGAGTCAACCATTCCGCTCGTTGGATGGGCAGCCACGGAAATAAACTGTGACCTATGCACCACCAACACTAAAGCTAATTTAACCATATAAGATCATTAAGATACGTTGAATACCAATTTTATAACTGCCCTTTTATAAGCAAAACAACTACTCCGACCTCAGGAAAAAGACTGAATAGACGGTTTTCTTTACAGAAAATATATTTGGTTGTGTATTGGATCAAACAAGTGATTGGCATGGCCCTAATTCCGCTTCTTTATTTGATCTCAGTCTTCTGATTTAAACATCCCAACTAATCCCAGGCTATGTGAAAGAGGTTTCCTATGAACTAACGTAATACAAGCATCCAAGTACTCGTCTTTTTTTCTACCCATTTTTTATGAAGATCGATAAATTAGCGGGTGACACTTCAGATGCGGCTTCATGCCAAGAGTGTTATAGCTTGAGCCTTGAAAGCACGTGTAAAGTGCTAATCTATAAATTTGATCCATTTCGATGCACAAGTACGAATTCAACTAAAATGATAATTCCACAAAACGAGTCAAATAACGCCCACAAAAAGACAACCGAGGACTAAATTAGCATATTATTGTATAAATAAGACGTGAGCTCCGCTAACTGGAGGTAAGTGCAAACCTATTCAAACAAAGACATTTGTAGAGAATCACTAACATTTTCCTTTAAAAGCTCATTAATAAGCAATTCCAAGGCTTAAGGAATATAATTCAAAACGCATTATAAAGGTATTCCCATGTTTACAAAACTCTTCGATTCGAAAATCATATATTGCAAGTCTGAGGTGCGCGATAGACTTACGTCCACGTGGTTCACCCTGGGCAACGTATACTCATACGGCAAAAAAAGTCTATTAACCGGCAGTTGACTTCCGACTTCTAACTAACATCACCCCACTGTATGTTAAATTCGACCACTTCCACAGTACTCATCTTACTTTTTCTCTGCAGTTGTGTCCATCTGTCTCTTTACATCTGTGAATCATTATTGTGTCCCCATCTCGACTTTTTGTTACCCTGATGTCCCTCCTCTCCTCTGTGAAGCCCGAAGTCAGCTAAAGGGCTAATGGTAACTATCAAAACGCCTGTCATTTGAAATAAATAAATATTGCAAGTCTTCTTAACAGGTCTAGTTAGGATAGATCTTTGAATGCGAACCAATGAGTACTAAAGCAGTAAACAAATCTGACGAGCATGCAAGTTGATTTAAGTCTCGTTTGAATTATCAATGCAGATGATGAGATAATCAAAGACGATATTAACTCCAAAAGCTCACTAGATTTAGGCATTGGATGACGAATATACCATTTGAACAGAGTATGATTGAATGAATTGTTAAAATTATGAAAAGTACATTCACCAATCCAAAACAAGTTTAAATCAAAGATTTAGCAAAGTATTAGCCAATGAAACTAATGTTTTGAAGAGATGACAATTTGGAGTTTTCAGATAGCAAGAGGAAATGTATAATCAAATAAAATTATTTCAAATCAATGATTCAATCAGGCTGATAGAGAACATTACAAATCCTCAGCTAATAGCCATGCTTTTAAGTTTCAAAGGATGATAAAGAACAAAGACTAGTAGGGCAATAAATGTGTTTAATTGATTAAAATTAATTCCATTTAGTAATTTGGTTATATTCAACTGCTAAAAAATATTTACTAAATCCTAAATTAAAATAATTAGCGCGACTTACAACAAACCGCGAATTGACTTTCTGAAGGATTTTCTTCTCAGCATAGGCCAGCTGTTCCCCGTGTCGTTTCTTAATCCGTTTCTTCTCCAACTTCTTACAGGCGTACAATTTCCCAGTCGCCCTAACCTGACATGCACACACCTCTCCAAATCCACCCTTCCCAAGCACACGATACATCCGAAATGTATCTTTATTAACCGGCTGCCTATAAACGAAAAAAAAACATAAATAATCCTGACAAAAAAACGAGCGTAGATAGGAAAAATTTTGCTTACATTTCAAGCCACTTCCATTGCAAGTATCGATCAAAGTAGATGGTTTTAGTAAAGGCAAGGAAAACTGTATGTTTTAGCCATGAATTCGCAAGACTATAGTGCATACAGTGGAATAAAATTTAAATCAAAATACCATATTAATTCAGAAAAGATATCCCTAGGTGGACATTCAGATTCACCAAGCTTTTCCATCCTACATATTACATCATTTACAAGATCATCAGGAAAATGAGTTATTTTAAAAGGCGCCTGAAAAAAATAATAAAATAGGCGATAAAGAAAACACCATACATCGGGATGAATATATTTAATGGCAATCTCATTGGCAATCTTTAAACCAGATTCATCAAAATCGACTTCATAAGTATCCTAGAAGAAAAAACTTAAAGCGTAATAAAGCATTTTACCGTAAGCTCTATAAAATCAATCAAGTTCTTCAACATGTATTTTGATCGGCAATAGCACAGGAAAAGTTGCTTCCCAATAGGTTGTTTCGATACGACATAATTGTACGAAATGTCTTTAGGTATGTAAAATTTTAAAAGCTCTTTACCAATCGTTTGAAGAACCCGTCGTGCAATACTAACATGAGGAAAAGCGAGAATATCTCTCCATTTTTTACTTCTTCTCTTATCTTTATTTGCTCCACCTATATGTAAGTACTATTTATAATAACTTACTTTCTTTTGCCTTTATGTAAACTGTATTTGCAACAATATTTTCTAACTCCATTTGAAAAATAAAAACTTTGTCAAATTGCTATCGATTTGACAAATGGATTGAAAGGACACACAAGACCATAGGGAGATTATTGGGTAATACGAGTATGTTAAAATGACGCCTTAATATGAGTATTATTAAACAGCAAAATACTTTAAAATGATAATTAAATTCGACCTAATAGCTTTCAATAAATATATTCTGACAAAAATTTGTTGAAATTCTTGTAATCGAAAGCTTAATTCGATTGCCTTATTCCAATTTCTTGAAATTTTAATCTATCTGATCATTATAAAGCATGATTTGCTCTTTATCATATTCTTCGTATTAATAAGTATCAGATAAAATCCAAAATTTTTCACATATTGGTCAAAATCTGAAATTTATAGCTACTAAGAAAGTTAGACAAAACCGAGACCACTTTCGATATCGAGTTTATATCGTGTTTTTCTGCATTATTTAGAGAAACAAGGGAAGCAATACGCAAAAATTAGGAAAATGAGTATTCATGCTAGTTGTGCCTGTAGTGTTATGGGTCACGAGTACAATTCTCATCTCGCAAAATCAATATATAGATTTAACTAACAAAGAGTATTTCATAATTCGAGTATTTAACTTTATCGAAACAATTCCTACATACGATCAATTCCAAATTCATTTCATTGTGTGGGAAGTTCTCGTCATCCCGTAAAACAGAAGTGGCTGATTTGCAGCTTTTAAAGTGAAACTTTCAACGAAATTATTTATTTTTACAGTTACAAAGAATGAGAGGTTTAAAATAAGATATAAAGATGAACGTAAGGTCAACAAATAAGTGTGGGATCAACCATGGAGTAATCACTGTGACAAAAGTGGTAGTGGCAAATCTTCGAATTTAATGAGCGATAATGCACCAACGCAGATTTGGTATAGCCAGTAAAACGTATTAACCTACTATTCGCACCGATTTGCAATTATGAACATGAATATTTTAATTTGCATTAAATTATTGCTTTTCATAGAATTTTGCGATGGGGCGCAGGATAAATTTTAACTACTAAAGAGGCTAAGTTTTCGATTATAAACACGATAAATTCATAGACTACAGGAATTGAATTAATATGGCTATTTTCAATTTTATTCAAATGACCTCGAAGGAGGTTAATTTTTGAGTGTGGAAATGTTTATATTGCCATTTGGGTTATCAGAACGGAAATGGAAACGTTAATTATCAATATAAGCCTCATAATGCTTGATGTGGGATATTAGGCTTAATCTGTGAATATTATTTCATTTAAATATCAGTCCAGCTTTCATGAAAACGATGATTATTTTAAATAAAAATGACAACCTTGATTCTATGTCTTTCTATGAGTTGATATTTTACCACCAGGGGTGTGTGATAGACTTACCTCCGCGTGGTGCACCCTGGTCAACGTATACTCATACGGCAAAAAAGTCTATTATTCGGCAGTTGACTTCCGACTTCAAAACACCATCACCTCACTGTATGTCATATTCGACTACTTCTACAGTACTCACCTCATCTTTTTCACTCTACCTTTGTGTCTCTCTCTTTTACATCTTTGAAATACTCTTCTGTTCCCCTCCCCCTCCCCCTCTCGACTTTTTTTCACTTTGATGTTCCTTCTTCTCTGTGAAGCCTGAAGTCAACTAAAGGGCTTATGATAACTATCAAAATGCCTGCCATTTGATATAAATAAATAAATATTTTACCACCACTATTTTCGCTCTAGACCGTTGGATATAGTAAATTAGCAATAAGAAGCAGTTGTGGGGTCTAACTGAATTACAATACTGCTTAATTCACTGGATCATTATTGCACAGTAGCACTTGGAAGTGATGAGTACGGTTTTAGAGGGATTTTCGAGAACAGTTGGATCAGTCATGGCAATGAAAGGGAGACTTGTGTCTATGGCCAAAATGTAGAATATTTGACCTAGATACTGCACGAATGTAAATTGTTATTTATTCATCTCCAGAAAGGAATGGGGGAGTACAAAGTGTGATTCGAATGCAAGAGGGTGGCTGAAAGTTTGGAAGTGAATGTGTCATTGAATTCCTCATGGGTACATCAGCACCCCTGCACAGGTGGACTGCTATGGTAAATATGACGTTCGTGATATCACAAATTTACCATTTAGAAGTGTCAAAAATTGCCAGATTATGAAAATTCATTATAAGAAGTCAATTGACTCAATATATACCGTGGATATCGCGTCAGAAGTAAGTCGACCAAACCATATGCCACAATAACTATACTTACAAACAGTAAACTGAGCCACAACTTTTTTCTAACGACACTAATTAATGTAGGTTAGAAATAGTGGATTCGAATCGATGCAAAAGTATAACTCATCAATAAAATTAATATTTACTTCGTTTGTATCAGACTTCTTCTGACTCAAAGACATGTTTGCTCGATTTTTTATCTCACCAACAATGATAACATTATATGACACTATCTACATGAAATCTTGATTACTTCAATGCAAATTCCACAGTATTACTAAACACTGCAATAATAACTGGGAAAATCACGAGTAATCTCATATTTTCAAAATTTAAATGTGGTACAGATTATTAGCGTAGCAATCCGCTACAAGTCCTAAAGGTTTTGCAAATCAGCGACCAGTTGGTCAATTTTGTGGATATCAATCAAAATTTTGCCGATTCTCTGGCAGTGAAATTGAATATAATTTCAAGTTTCGGTATCATCCTGCAACAAAATTGAGTTTAGCGATTATTTAATATTTTTGTTGACTTTCACTAACCGCTGACCGCAAAATTTGGATCTAAGGAGACATCCCCGTCAGTGCACTGATGGATTCTTATTCGAGTGATTCTGCCCTAAAAAATGTAGTAGTTGTTGATAATATCGGTCGAAAGCAATATTCGAATGGAAAAAGAATTAATGGCTTATGTCACCAAACCTGCACAAATTTTTCCCTTGGGGCTAAAGAAAAAGCCAAAAAGTATTTTTCCAGGTTCTACAAATTCCGACAAATGGACTTTGAGTATGCGTCTTGGCAAATGGTCAGTATTTTTGTGTCACCTCAAAGACTTTACAGAAATTTCAGTTACCATCATTGTAAGGCCCAATTTATTTATTTTTTTATTCGCATCTTCAGCCACTCGTAATCAATGGGCTCGAGACGATCCCGCCTTCATGATTCTTCTTATCCCTTGGATTTTTAGTTTGTTTATTATTTTATAACTCACTCTGTTTATATAGTTTCAACTTCGGTATACTCCGCCCATCTCGGCCATTCCTTTTTCGGTTGGTTGAAACTTCTTTTTTGGTCAATCGTCTTCGAGTGTATATTTTCGGGTCTTATTGTGGCGTCGTTCATGTGGATTATTTCTAATCGCTGGATGATCCGGAGAGAACATTCAGGTGGTTCTTCAACTAGCACAACTATTTTTGGAAGTCCCAGTAGGGCCACTAACAACTACACCCGCCGTTCATCTATGGCTTCAGACGATGAATCACTAAACTCTGATGGATCCTATTCTCACCCTCCGATTGTTGAGTGGGCATACGCATTTGATATTCATCTGAATGCATTCTTCTCTTGCTTTATTATTCTTCGCAACATCCAACCTGTTTTCTTTTACTGTAAGTTTTTAACTTCTTCACGTGCACCCTTCATTTTGTGGTTCTAGTATTTTACTTGATTTTATTTCTTTCTTATGCTTCTTTCAGTTATTCGCGGAAAAACTATTGCGAGTATTTTATTAGGAAATACTTTCTGGCTTGTTGGAATTCTCTACTACGTCTACATAACTTTTCTCGGCTACAAAGGTAGTGTTTGGTTATATATATTTATCATGATCTTGTTAAATTGTATTATTGACGTGTCTTTTATTCCCTTAGCTCTTCCATTTCTTCGGCGAACTCGCGCTATCTTACTCACGGGGACAGTAATTGTCGTTCTCTACGTTGTCTCCTTGGTGCTGCGTTGGAATTTGACCATGGGAATGTGCAGTTTCTATAGTCTGTTTTAAAATCAAACACTTTTCGCTGTGATTATGAGAACATTTTGTAAATATACGCGTCTGCGTACTTGACGTGGAGGCAATTACCCTTTTCTCTCATTTTAATCTTTTTTGTAATGTTTGACTTGCGTTGAAACTCAATACTATCATGTTTCAAGAGTTATGATAATCTGCTTGCATTATGCTGTCTACTCTTGTTTACAGTGGTTTTTGATTAACGTTTTTTCTTCGAGTTTTCGATAGCAAGTTAATTTTTCGCATTTATTGATATTTTCTGCTATAAGAAGGTTCAACGGTTATTTGTTCGAAAATTATTTTTCAATATATTCGGGTTGTGATGTGCGTATGAAACCGAAATATTCCCCCCCCCCCCTTAAGCAATTAAATTATGTGGCTTAAATGTCACCATTGTTGAATAAGGAATTTTGTGTTTACCGATCCACGGGCAGGAGAAACAGAGGCAGATATTTGTTCAAATTGATCAGGTATGGAAGAGAAGATTTTCAACCCTTTAACTCCTGAATTATTTTTTGAAACATGCACTCAACCACAATCACAGCAGACTGCTGCTGGCGTGATGAGTTTTGGTGGTTTCAGGCTAAGGTCATGGGCGTATTGAACATGTTTCAAACGGCAATAGTAGCGCCTTCTGTTACGAGTCTAGTGCCAATGGAGCTAATTTTGAAAGAGGACCGTACTGTTCTGCAGGGCGTCAAAAGTGTCATGGGGGTTATTTTGGGCGTTTTATCTTAGTCGACATGAGTAAATCCCCATCTCAAATATTCATGCAAAAAAATGCAATGAAACTCGAAGTTGTCAATCGTATTCCAATTTCCGCAGAAAATAAAGCACGATGATTTAAATTACTGTTTCCCAAGCTCGTCGACCAACAGCCAATGCCATCGTTTGGTTTCATTTAAGCTTACAAAGGCAGGTGTGATTGAAACACCATATAATCGAGTGCCATCATCTTCAGTGGGTATTTTCTAAGTAATGAGGAGATGGAATTTCGTTTCCATTCGCCAAATTTTACCTTTTTGCCAATGCATCAACTTGCCTACTATGTATAACATATTATATTTATATAATTTAACGTATGACGTATGATGAGAAGATATTTCATCTTTTGCTTGCAGCATGTGAATCGAACATAGTTAAAAGTACTTGAGCTGCTACAAATTTAACTATACGTATAGGCATAACTAGAAACTCTATTAGGAAATCTCATCGGAAGGTTATCAATAATTAGATAATTGGGGTAAATTGGTAAGACTTGAACAATGATGAGGTATCCAGATAGCATTAAAAAATTAACCAATAAACTTCGGCCATCGTAGACCAATAACCGTGCCAGCGTCGATATGGACCAATAAGAAAGAAACCCGAGAGCTGTGACCTCTTTCTCTTACCGTTTGTGTTCGTTATGGTAAGCGGTCTCCATTCGCATTTTTCAAACCCTTTATAGATTTTAGGCGCTTTTGTATTTACTTACCTTCTCTCTAATAACTATCTCTACATATCAAAAGCTATTTTTTAAGGGGATGATTAGCAAATTATCAATATAATGACTCAAAAGACATTAACGGTTTTTCAAAGCATTCGTGACATTGTAAATACGTCATTCTATTATTGATCAAATCAGGTGAAGTATACAAGATCGAGTGAGTTGGCAATACGTCTTGGTGCGATTTTGTCCTCATCTATTTTAACAGAAATAGCCCAAGGTAAGAGACTCATTATATTGAATTTTAAGTGGCGTGCGATATACTTACTTCCACGTGGTGCACCCTGGGCAACGTAAACTCATACGGCAAAAAAGTCTATTAACTGGCAGCTGACATCTCACTTCAAACTACCATTTCCCCACTGTGTCATATTCCACTACTTTCACAGTACTCACTTCACCTTTTTTCTACCTTTGTCTGTCTCTTTTGCATCATTGAAACAATTTTCTGTTCCCCTCCTCCCTCTCGACTTTTCTTCACCTTGATTTTTCTCACCCTCTGTGAATCCTGAAGTCAGCTAAAAAGCTAATGATGACTATCAAAACGCCTGCAATTTGATATAAATAAACATTAAATTTTAAAAACCGTTGTAACGGATTGCTACACTAATAAGCTTTAGCTATGCTCAGAAATCCCTATGGAAGATTCTCCTGTTTGGAAAGACTCAAAAAGCTAAAATGGAAACAGACGTATGACATGGAACACGTTTATTTGGTATGCGGGGCTATAAATAATAACGTGGAACTTTCTGGTATTATAACCACGTGACGACTTTGACCATTGATTGGTCGGATGACAACGTACGGGCTTTGATTGTGGGTTGATCTACCTATAGTGGTCATTAGCTGGTGGATAGGCCACTGCATTTGTTATGCTAAAGTCGTGTTCCCTATATACCGTCTTAATAAGTAGACGTAGGTGACTGACCAAAATAGCAAACTTTCACCAACAGTACCACTTAAATTTTCCTTTATTAACAATGGAAAATTGCAGATATAGAATTACGTTATTTGTTCTGATAGCCAATTATACCCCAGTGCCTATGGACAATCATAGTATCCCATTATCCTTGTCTTAAATTACAACTTAGATTTCTTGTTTAAACAATAAAAATAGGCGGAAAGAAGGGTACAATCATGTCATTTCAACTACATTTGGACTTCAGATGTCCCAGAAGAAAAATCAAATCCATAAAAGAAAAAAATTGAGTAAAATAAAGTCACAAAATAACGATATGAGGGTAGCATAAAAATTCACTAGCGGTATCATAATTTATTTTTATCAGAAGTACTTTACAAAATACAGATAGGTGCAGATAGTAAATTATGTTGACTGAGTAGCGATATTATCCACAATTTCTGGTAGACTCGACACATCCACTACCATAGTTACAAAGGTGATTGTCTCATTTTCATCATCAACTGTAGGGGTGACGACATTAGTTTCCGAGGTAGCCAAGGCGAACTTTCGTACACTTTCCATCTCAGGTTGAATGTAAATCAACTCAGAGGAATCAGGCGATTTGATTGCTCGAGTCAGGACAATAATATGAGTTGGCTTTTCATTTTCGGGAAGTACATTAATTTCATCCAGTAGGGAAGATACAGATTTCTCTGCGACTTCAACAGGAAGGTTAACATATCGTTCATTAATAAGAAGAGCAGGTTTTTCCGAGGAAGCACCAGTTATAACCTTCACTATTGCACTGGCATCTGAATTTGAAGATTTTGATGAATTAATAAAAGTTTCCAGGAATTTGCGAAGATCAGCAATAACAGGATACTGGGTAATATCCGGTTCGAAAAGGCTAATGAGAGACGTAATAGAAAAGACTATATCTTCATCGTCGTCACCATCAGCTTCGTAATCAGAATATTTGACAACGGTGCCGATTTTTTCTCTGCCAATAATATAATCCGCTAGACAAGCAAAACGTAAATTTGCCGTTTTGGGTAAAAGCTGTTTTAACATCTGAATAATTCCGTCTCTGTCATCCTTCTCGGGAGAAAATCCTTCCAATTCTAATTTTACAAAATCCTCATCAGATTCTTCGTCACCACGCTTACTCTTTTTAGCACACATGAAAAAGAACAATTACTGCAAAAATTCTAATAAAAGTGCACGCCTGAACGGTTTATACCCGCTGGAAAAAAATGCACCAATTACTTTTAGTGGGTATTAGATTTAAAGTAAGAACGGTAATATTAAATTGCCTAGACCAGGCATTCATATCTTAAGAAATAAAATAAATCTTGGAATAATCTATTTTAATTTTACTGCAATGTTCAATTGCTGCTGATGATTTTTTAAAATCTGGAAGCTTATGGAAATTATTTTAGTAAGTTTATAGAAAGTCCTTTTAACATTGCAACTGTATTGTATTTACTAATTTAGTTTATAAGCTTAATACTTAGGTATATATCGGTTATCAAACTGCTCTAATTTTTAAATAGGTGAAATTCTCCCCTATATCGTAATGGTTTGTTATGTAAATAACTAATCACCAATAAAACTAAAATTTATTAGTACATCAGTCATAAGATGAATCAAGTATTTTCCCTAAAGGTGGGAAGAGTAAATTAAATATTGCCGAAATCAAAGATCTATTTTCTGTGATTACGCCAACTTTTATCCGCAACTCACAAAAACCTGCCGAAAATGAATCAAATAACATTACTCAATAAAAAGTTTAACAATTTAACACTGAATCCACCAGAAAATCTAATTTTTTATTTGTATATAAAACGAAATATAAAATTTGAAAAATATTCACCACAAATTAAATTTCATTGCCATGATTCAAAATATTTTGGAAAATTTGAACAAGTAAAACAGTCGATAACCAGTTTAAACTGATCATTGGCATGGTAAAATACTTAATGTCCTCAATAAGATAGCAAAATGCAGTAAAATACGTATTGGTATATAAACAAGCTCTATCACTGTTAGTTATATCTTTTCTAATAAATTAGTCAATAGTATTTAATATATATTCTTGTGAAATATAGCCTATAATGGATGCTCATCAAAATCACAATGATTCACTATTTTAGAATATTAGAATACACCAGTTTCCATGGAAGGTCAAGTTTTTCCTTAAAAAGTCAAGGTCATTTTGTTTAATCGAAAATTTGGCGCAAATAACAATATGCTTTCATGTGATATCGTTATTTTTATAACATTGTTTATTACAACTGTTTATACACATCAATTTTTCGGCTTCAAGCAAAAATATCTTCTATATTCTGTAAATGAGAACGAAGGTTTCAATTTACGTCGTGATGTTTATATACGAATTGCTAATTTAATCAGGTAACTTAAATATTTCAATAATTCCAACTTTTGTTTTTTCTTAACTCGAATAAAGCCAATTATTTTAATCTTTGTGATGTATTATAATGATATATTTTGAGTTTAAAGTGCTGTTTTTAGGGTTCTTCGCGAGGCTTCTCAATACCCTCTTGGTGATCTAAATTCCTCGAACTTTTCAATATTTGATTGGATATTAGTGCTGCCACCCTGGACTCAAACATTTCACTGGAAGCACCAGGATGCATCCTCAGCACTTCCTCAGCCCTGGTCCAAATTCTTCGACTTAGAATCTCTCCGTTTATTCATTCCAGTTATTGAATTTGACGATTTTCTCCAGATAGGTATGTTTTGTTATTATTAATTTAGTTCAGTTAATTCTAATCATAGCTGAAAGTCAGATCCAATGATTGGCTTTTTTGTTTCCACCTGTTAGCCTTTGTTTGTTTTCATTTCTGTTATACGATCTAATTAATTTCCCATTCTCTATCTATATTGACTCCAATGATTTTATCCTCGTAATGAATCGTTGTTTCTGTTTCCTCTAATGATTTCTTTTCTTTATTTCAATAAAGTTAGATTGACATGTTCTTTTTTGGTTTTCATATAACACCTTTACCTCTCATTTATTTTCAGTCAAAAATTTAGTGATCAAGAGATAATCTTTTTAGTCAAGATATGTATATATATAGCTTATGGAATTCCAATTTTCTTTGCAAGAATGAAAATAATAATAAATTTTTGCCACATTTTAAATGTCATCGTTGCAAGGATGTCCAAGTTTTTTTACGAAATTTACATTCCATCTTTTTCTAAAGTGCATTGTCGTCGACGCGTAAAAGTTGTCAATCTCAGTTGGCTAGGTTTATTGTTAAAATCACTTTTCAAACTTCCCAATTCATTTTCACCTTCTGAATAACGTTTCATTTTGTTTATTGAGATTTCCTATTTTCAAATTCACTAACTCAATCTTAGTCAAGGGAACAAGTTTTAAGTTTTAAAGCAGAAATCTTGTTGGCAAAGCTGTTCTACTTTGCCTTACCTATTTTTCAGTGTCATTATTAGTAGTCACTGGAAATCAACTAATCCCAAATTTCCTTTAAGTTTCTTAGATGGAAGTAAGAAAAATGTCAAAACTCCAATTTTGCGATCAGTATTATCTAATAAGGTTACTGATTCTAACCTGTGTCATTTGGCATCGTTCCGTGGCCTGGTGGCTTTCCGTTAACAGCTGTACCACCGACGCAAAGCGGTCCATGTCATTTCTCGCCCCCTATCACCTTTTCAACTAGGTTCGAACCTATTTATACACCACCAAAGGTGAAAATTCTACTAATTATAGATTTATGAGATGACGGGGGGGGGGTTCAGTATGTAGTTTCTCAAACAATTTGGTTCGTTATTGATTCTGTGACTGTGAACAAGACGATCCTTTTTTGAAACTATTAATTTCTAAGACGGAGAAGGGCTGTTGGACTTTGACCTCAAAATTCGTTTCCAGTTTTGGATGCGATATGGCTAATTGACTTCCACGTATTTCGAAACAGGATAAAATGAAATTTTTTGCGGTTGTGTTTATGTATCAGTGACGGTTTTCGATCTGACAGGTTGTTTAATTCTAAGAGTGTCGGCACTGGCACATGCGTGTTAGTCATCCCTTTGATGAAATACTTAAACCAACTAAACTACGTAAATAAAAAGCATTTATTGATCAAATATACTGCGTGGTTTGTGGACTGAATAAAATAAGCATATATATATATCTCCAGCGCTTTTTGTATCGGTTGTCGATTCTGACACAGTTGTAGCCTTTTTTCTTTATTTAATTCTCCCACTAAGCTCTGCTACGAGGCCGTTAACGACCTCCTGTAGTTTCAGGGATCTTTTTCTACGGTTGCGGAATTTGGGATTCATTTCCCCAAGGTATCTTTCCTATAAAAATTGTCATATGTTCAAGTGCTCGAGAATGCTCTAAGTTTTGCACATACTGTGAAATCTGAAAGCCATTATGGCAGTTCAAAGACGTTAAAGGCTCAATCATAAGCAGTTGCCCAGACGGTGAAGAACTATCATGCAAAATTTAAGACTATGCGCTCTATAATATCCATAAATAAACCCTCAAGTTTATAGTGGAGTTCCAAGCTGTATAAGGAACTGCAGTAGAATACTTATAGACTATTTGAATTTCAAATAAAGGCCCTTTCAAAAATTAAATAGTTTAAATTTGGAGTTACTTTTCCATCATCTTGCAGAAAGAAATTAGAGATAACTGAAATGGTTAGGAATACAAGAACGACAAATCTTGGGGGTGGGTGGTGGAGGGGGAGGAGGGGGGGGGGGAACATCCATGCTCCAGAATGCAGACAACCAATTTGTGCATGCGGATATGAATCCGGGTTCATCCCACACTGTGTACACTAGAAGAGGCACATAAAGTGGTCTTGTTTACATATGCACACAACTGTGCGATTAGTTGGTTTCTTGTAATTTAATGAAGGAGAGTGATATTGACTGTCTGCGTTGGACGATGACGGGAGCTATGTCTATCAGTGTGCATCCAATGACCTGAATGCCCACTTGTACTGGGTAATCCTGGTTAAAACGTAAGTGGATTCATCTGATTGATTATAGCTTCTGCAATCCTGTCAGAAATGCAAGGTCATTGCTATCTTTTCCACAAGCATTCGCATATTTTTGACACCTTTACGCTCTGCCGTTTTTTTGCTTGAATTCGCTTGAGGTGCGAATCTACACTATTCGGTAACTTTTACGTGTTTTTTTAGCCACAACAAGGCTTCTTTTTGTCTTGATCAAACTGTCGTGAGTTTTTTCCTTCATGGAATCTGATATGTCAATGGAAGTTTTTGGTAAGAGAACTATGAAGGTTTTTCATAACAATCCTGAGGCGAATCATCCAGTTAAAATCTTATTCCAATTGGTCTGTTACTTTTTTTTAAGAAAAGTTAAGCTTTGGCAAAACGAATTGCTCTAACTTATATGTCGAAGTGGCGTTTGTCAGAGGAAAATATTCACATTCCATTCTTTGCTCTCAAGCAAAAACACTGTGTTTGTTAGGCAGGCATCTCTCCATTGGCTTTTTTACTTAATACGCACTTTAAATGGTCCTTATTCCCAGTATAAACTTATATAATCACTTGGGGTGGTATTTTTGTTTCACTCGGAGAGAATTATCTTGCAGTCTGTTTGCCTCCATTTGATTTACTTTTTTAATGACCCTTATTTTTTATGCACAGAGGTTTTTATGTCCTGAGAATCGCTCTTCTGGCATTTTTTCATCATGATTTGCCCCTGTTTTCTGCTTTCGCGAAACGACTATACAATTTAGCCCATTTGCTGGGCCAAAACGCCATTGTCCCCAAGTACTGTTCCCTCTCATTCCTCTCGTCGTGGCGCGAATGTCAGATTCAATGATGCTCATCTAATCTAGCCCTCTAATCAACCTATGCAATAAATTTTGAAGTCTATTCTCCAGCGGGAAATTCACGTGTAATCAGATGGTATTATGTCAGACATTCCGCGTGTTTAAGTCCGGCTTTTCCTAATGTCTGTTTGCTGGTAATTTTGTAATACTTTTCCGCGGTATACGATCGCACTAGATCTACCACCCCCCAAACTACGGATCAATATAGATTAATGCTGTCAGCATTACGCAATTTGAAAATAAATTTCAGAGTTTATAATGCGCGTCTTTAACGCAGCGTTCAGCTCTACGAAGATTGGTGTCACGCAATCGATGCGTATCTAGCCATTGGAATGCGTACTAATATTGGGGGGGGGGAGTTAGCTTGTAAATTCCCTTACAAACAAATGATCTTCCTAAACCCGGTTAGCATACAACAGTCCTATCCCAGCGAATAAACTTAGAGCAAGGTATGAGCGCGTTTTAATTGGCCAATTGTCAGGGAATTAGAGGGGGGGGGGGTTGGA